AGGAGGCTACGTTATTGCATGGCAGTGTCTTCTGCATTACGCAAGAGAAAATTAAGTTCCTCAGACAAACGTGTGAAAAATGATAGTGAATATGAGTATAATAGAGTTTAATAAATTAAATACCTTCCCTAGAATTTCCTTTTTCGAACGAGTGCGTGACTCGATATCGGCAGGCGGCGTGACTCTTAGCAATGGAGGCGGAGGTGCCTTGTGACAAAAGTCACGCATTGAGCATGAGACTCACGCAAACGAATCTCACGCTAAAACTATTACTTTTTAAGGAATTTAAGGTTTTCGATTTAAACTGTTTCTTTTGGGATAGCAACAGCTAGTTAACTAAAATTCCTTAGAAATCAAGAATTTTTCTAGATGAAATTTACTCCTTATTATTCCCTTTGTACTTCCTTCGATAGACTATTACACATGCTCACCTGTTGACCATCCGCAGACCAGTAACTTGGGCTCGCTCCACACACGCTCAGAGTAAATGAATACAAGTCTTAACAACTTCATTTTCATTTGCGTAACTGCACCCAAGAAAGTAAAATGATCGACTGAAAAATCCATTTTATTCCGCACCTAAAAAGCTCAAAATGAATTTTGCTTTAATCAGTTGACATTTCTCAGGTGTGATATGAACATCATGCAGTCACTGATCGCATGAATTCGAATTTTTTTTCTCTGTTCTCAACACGGATAACATCACTGTAATTTTGTGTAAATAAATCAAAGATTGCATAGATAATTAATCTTAATGTATGATAAGTACGTTCTGTGAATCTCATTCCCTTTTGCCGACGGTTGCTTTTGTCAACCCCATCTGTCGATAGGGCACAAATTATTTTTTTAATCCGAGTACATTGAGCCGATGTTTACTTAATTACCTTTTGTAACAACAGTAACAATAACAATTACAATATTTGTTTATTTCCACCATTTGCAGATCTCTCTGAATTACTGGTAGCGTCAGACACTACTCTCACAAACCTACAAATATGCGTGTATTTATATAAGTATACGTGTAATTATATAAATATAAAGATATAAATATAGTATAGTAACAATGTAGCAGAAAACGAAAGCGCATACCTTCGCACTGTTAATATACGAAGCATCTTTAACTGATACGAACTCTGAGATACGGTCAGTTCGGCCACGTAGCACATGGCATGATGGTCCCGACCTCAGCGAATACGAGGTTTGCGACGAAATGACCCTGTTAGAAATTAGGGGATAAAGCGGGCTTGTGTGCATAATGTCCGCCACAAATTTCTTGCACGCCAGATGACGTCTGACCTCGAGACAGAAGCCCTGCACGCGCGAGGGCGTCCTCGTAGCTCAAGTCAGGACCAAAGATGATTCGCAAGGCTCTCTTTTGTACTCTTTGTAGCCACCTTTTCTATGAAGGTGTCGTAAAAGAACATAAATATGAAACATCCTTTCACATTTCCAGTGGCCATGGAGAAAAATTCGGATGAAGATCCAATTTTAGACGTCGAAACAGCTGAAAAAGAAATTGCACTGGATGTTGATGAAGACCCCCCACAAGGTAAGGTTCATACAATACGATACGATAACTATATTAATACACGGTATTTCTATCATTCAATTAAGATACTCGTAGTTGTACGTATCTACCTAACTAAAATAATATAAAAGAAATATTAAAAAAAAAAACTGCTTTTCATGAAGGCCGTGTCCAAAGTCAGTTATCTAAAACTTAAAATATTACCTAAAACTGTGGGGACTTAATTGAGATTTGTTCATCTCAAGCTTCAGTTACTTCACGTATCATGTGTATTTTGCAGTATGTTGATCGTAGCAGAAGGAAAAAAGAACATGCAGGTGTGACCACCCCGTGCGGTGTACATCCTGGTAATAGGCTGATGGGAATGTACTAATGGCTGGGGTCGCATTTTCAGGGCTGAATTGACAATTATAATAATGGGGTTGCATTTTTAACAGAGTTACTAGAATGTAGTCGAACATATTCGGAATTTTGGGGGTAGGAAAATTCTAGTAAGTAGGAATGATTCGCGGTTGAAAAAAATTGTTACCATAGTACATAGTGACAATGATGGGATCTACAATCGGTCACAGAATAGACAGCAATGGGGTAGGGGCCCTGATTGGCCAGCGGCACATAACCATGAAAAATTGACCCCAAGTACCCCCCCCCGGCCCCT